TGATTTGCCATTGTTTTTAGGAGGAAATTATTACAGAGCACTATGGTGGCCAAACTGAGCTTGCAAACAAGCTGACTGGGGCAGTTGCAGCCCATCATGACAGTTTGTTTCAGATGCTCTGTGGCAAGCTGAATGTTGGAAGCCTGCCACTGCAGTGGTGGGGAGCTGAGCAAGTCGCAGCCTGCAGGCCACAAGGCGCCCACCCTCAGCAATCCAAGTGTCAGGAATGCTGTGTAGCGCATCTCAACAGTTTGCTAGTGGTTCGAGGAACATTGTCCCCAGACAGCCACATTTTAGCCGGTTCGTTTATTCAATCCCACTCCATGCCCTCCATGTCAAAGGTCCTGCTTGGCTATGGAGAGTGCCTCAGGCATGAGGCTCACTTCGTTGTATTCTCACAACGAACAGCCCTGTTGGGTTTGCAAATGCTGCTCTTGGCTTGGCCCAGCCATTCAGGGCAATCCTTCAATTGTCTTTTTGCATCATTTAGGCAATGCGGGTCAAAATGGCCATTAGTGAGCGAAGCTGAAGAAAAGACCCAGCTTGCTTTGCTGGTACAGCTGATGAATGCTGACACAACAAACAAAAATGCTTCCTTGTTGGATCAATTATTAGCAAGTATTAATTCTATCCTCCATTTGAAGTAGATGCTTCTCCCAACCTTCAAGTGCCCACACCCCTTTTTCTCTGGGTTATCTCCTCCTTGATTTAATGAGCTCGTCTCACATGCATATTGCATTTGTGTTCTTCTGAGTGGCTCAGCCCAACATACAGAGATACTAATGAGGGTCAGACTTGCTTAGCTTCCCTGATGAAGCTGCACCAAGCACTTTTGCATGAACCTTTGAGGCCGTGATATATGCAAATGGTTAATCCGAGCATCTGGGATTACACGGTAGACAAGAAATCAAACCAATTTTGTCACATGATAATTCTGTACTGAGTACATACCTGGCCAACCACAAGATAAATATATTCCAGCATTTTTTTCAAGGCATTCTTCTCAGGGTATAATATATATCATGTCATGTCATGTCATGTCATGTCATGTCTTTTTTTTTTTTTTACAAACTCTGCTTCAGATTATACAGCCACTGATGCATACAAAGTAGTAGAACACGAAAGTCCAAAGACTGAAACTGTTCTCTCAGAATAAGAAGCGTAAGGTACAATCCTATGCAATGCTTAGACAGGAAGGTGGAGCATGCTAAGGGTTGTCGGCCTCTTTTCCTTGCACTGGATTGCATCCTTAGAGTAGCTGCAATGAAATCATGCTCCCATGGTTGTCTATGGCATTTATTTCTTGGCTATTCAGTATAATTCATTTTCATGCATTTTTTCCATGGTCTGCCCGATTAAAACACCTGGGTAGTTATTATTTCTTTTAATTTTGCGCATATCTTTATGCTGCTGAAGGTGAAATCTTATGGGTGTTTAGGCACAAAAAGCCCTTTTTTTGTCTTCAAATGCTTAGGACTCTGTCTTTAGGTGATTGCCCACCCCCCACCCAAGACACAAGGTGCATGCTTTTCTTGTTCACCCCTACAGAGCACTCTCTGGCTTCCTTTCGTTTGCTCACCCTCCATAGCTGCACTTGCTAACAGAGTTTCTAAAGTTCTGCTAGACATCCATAGCCTATTATGCAATGGAGTGCTGATGCTCAGCATGCTGACTGAATCTGGCCCTTTGCCCTATTCAGAGTGGCTTGTATCCGGCAAATGGAGTCAGCTATTAGAGCTTGAAAATGGCTTTCATCTCTCTAATATGTAATTTGGGAAACAAGGAACAGGAGAGGAGGGAGGGTTGTCCCTCTACTCTTGTATCACTACTCGCAAGTCTACCACATGCAGAAGTATTCGGCTGGGTGTATGTCTGAAGAGAGCCCTGTGTTTTCAAAAGCATTCAGTGTCTTGTTGGCACACGGCAGCACTCTGGGATCAGGCTCTTTCTCTCCTGGACAATAAGGCCTCCCCTTTGTCTGCAGACTACTGAAACGTGTGCCTTTCTCTGACTGATCTCTGGATCATTTGATCATCCAGAGTTCTGTAGGAAGCTGAAGGTGGGCCAAGCTGAGCGAGATGTGTGCCCTTCTTTCCTTTTAAGGATGGATTGAGATGCCCACAAGCCAGAGGCTTCAAAAGTTACCCTGCAGTACCTGTTGCTCCATGGGAAATGCTACTAAAGGGAACAGGAACCCACAGAAATGGGAAGAGGCATGTGTTGCGCTAGTAATCCACTTTTCAGACACAGAGGGCCTGGTAGGGTTTAGCAATTGGTGAAATGAAACTGAAAGCTGAAAGTCTACAGTGCAGCAGAACTGCATCCCACGTTACTTGGAATAAGAAAGTGTGATTCTTCCCTACATGACTGCAAGCTGTAACTATTACATGTATTTCCTGATGGAAGTACTTCCTGATGGTTAGGACTCCCAGGGTATGGAATGGGTTTCCACAGGAGGTGGTTGAAACCCCTAGAGGTGAGGCTGTTCAAGGATAGGTTGGACATGCACACGGTAGGCATGTCCTGAGTGGAGCCAGCTGGAGTCGGGGGTCAGACTAGATGGCCCAGGAGACCCCTTCTGACTCACTCTGTTTCTATGTTTCTATGCCTTGTAAACCATTAAGAAGAATGCTGACTCTCTGGAAGCAGCAAACCACAAGAGCTTGCCCTCTTCCAGCTCTTCCAAAGAGTGTGGCAATCACCAAGGTTAATTTCTTTCAGTCATCCACTGCTGGTGCCAACAGACTATCTCTTGGCTCTTATACGTGACATGAAGCAGAGGGGCAGCCTATTGTGGAAGAACCCTCAAGAATCAGCTTGTACTCTGGAGCCCTCCTTGGCTCTGCTGGTGGTCTCAGGAAGGAATCAGTGATAGCTCAAGACTAGAACTGACCCCACCCCATGTACAGGCTGCAAATAATTGAGGAAAATTAAAATCAAGGCAAGTATGCTCCATGTCCAGCACAAGACCCAGCGTGGTTAGAGTGCTGGCTGTTGGACTCAGGAGACCTGGGTTCTAGTCCCCACCTGGCCGTGAAGCTCACTGGGCAGCTTTGGGCCACTCACTAGCCTACTTCACAGGGTTGCAGTGATGATAAATCGAAGAAGAAGGATTGGGTATGCTTCCCCGGGGTCCTTGCAAGAGGAAGAAAGAAGGGTTATAAATGTAAATGTAATGCTTATACTACTAGTCATAATAAATGAAATCCATGGAATTGCTGAGCAGCTCCCTGCTTAATTAGAGGCAGTGGGATCTGTCAGGTTGTGATGCATGTACGCATCAATATCAGTGCCAGAACCATCAGCTCCCAGGCCAAGACAGGCTTGTAGGCCAGGGCCATGGTGGGAGGCATGACTTCTGGAAGAAGGGCCTAGTATCCTGGGCTAGCCAGTGTGAGAGAAGAAAGAATGCTGGGATTCTTGCCAAGGCAAGGTCAGGCATTTTTCTCCTTAAAGGGATTAGGCAAAACAACCTGGAGAGGAGCATGACCCATTGTCTTGAGATACCTGGAAATGACCCCACCTGTAGCCCCTAGTCAAAAGGGATCATTTCTTACCCAGAAAACAAGAACTAAGGCTCAAACCAAGAAGGCATCAAGGCCCATTCCAACAATTAGTGTAAGCTTGAGAAGTACCTCTTCACTTGTTCTGAGAGAAAAGGCATAAATATCAGGACATCAGAAAGGAGACTTTCTCTTCCCTCTCTCCCCTGCACGCTGTTTTGGACACACAAGCTCCACTGCTGCAGGATGGGAAATGGACCCCCCCACTCCCCCAGTCTCTCTCTCTCTGTTAGGCAGGAAGCTCTCTCTTTCTTTTCAGAAATGTAGAGTAAGATTGGGATGTAACAGGAATATTTGCTGTCTGGACAACATGGGGTTAAAAGCTTGTGCCTGCTCTATAACTTTCTGATGAATTAACTCTCCTTTCCTTTCTAAACTCTCTCTCTCTGTGTGAATGCAAAACCAGGGCTTGTTCTCTTTAGCCATGCATGTTAATTCCCAGCAAAAGGTCCCAAACCTTTCAGGGCAATCTGGAGGGAAAGCGCCTCCTTTTGAGGTGAATTGCCCCCACATTTCTTGGCATAACGAGGTGTTTGGTGTTTCATCCCAGGCTGTCTGGAATTGGCTTCTGAAGTCTTTGCTTTTACTGGCCAGAACTGGGATGGAGTCCCTTTGCCAGCGATGCTCATGCCCTCTGCCCCTGGCCTGAGCCACCCTGATGCCAGAAGGATGGTTTGATACAGAGGGCAGAAACAAGGGGAAGCTGCACACTTCTGCAAACGGGATCATTCTTGCTCTTCAGATGAGGATCAGCTGAGACTCTTTCTCTGAACTGTGGAACTCTATGCACAAGCACTTGGTTTCTCTTCGGTCTGTGTACCAGGCGGCACAGCCGCCAGGAGCCCAATGGTCCCAGACCCTGTGCTGATCCAGCAACTCCTCCAGAGGTCTTTGCCCAGCCACTTGCCGTCATGCCACATGGCACCATGGAGAAAAAGGGTGTGCGGCCAAGACTTCACCTATGGGACATCCCACAGGAGGAGGAGGAGGAGGAGGAGGAGGAGGAGGAAAGAAACCCTTCAGGAGTAGGGGCAGAATCTCAGGTTAAGGCTGAGGACGGTGACTGAAGCAGCCAGTGAGTGAAGGCCGAAGAAGCTTGCCTCCCTCCCTCTGGCCCTCTATTTTTGGCTTTATCCACTCTGTTCACACACCTGTTCTATGAATATCAACTCCCTCAGCTCCTGACACTCCACCAGCCAGGAGATTGCAAGCTTCTCCTGTGGCAACAACACAGGGAAATTAGCAGTCTGTATTTCTGGGGGCAAATAGCTACTTCAGGGCATCTGGTTTGCTGGACCTTTCAGAATCTGCATTTATGAAAATCTTAAACATATAGTACACCTGTATCCACTAGTTCTTGGATGAGAAATGATTTCCTATGAAGTATTCCCAAACTTCCCATATGTTTTCAATATATGCTTTAACTGAAGGACCGTATCCTTTCAAAAATCATTTTTATTAGAATTTACCAGGAGAGGAAATGATACATGCCTAGACATAAGAAAAGTAACATAACTTAAGAAGCAAAATCAAGGAAAATGCTGAATAAAGGGCTTTTTAAAAAGTGGCAATAAAGAAAAGTAATGGCAAGAGAACATAAAATCAACACAGATAAATTTATATAAAAAGAAATCAAAAGAACATTTAAATTTGTATACATATAAGAAGTAATGGATGACAACATAAAGTGAAGCTTTCTAGTTTTTAATAGGACAAGTATATGTTTGGAATGCTATTTCAATGGTGGTGAGGCAGGTTTACCTAGCCACGAATCCCTGCCTGCAGGTACAAGTACCAGCTCTCAGAAGGCAACCCACCAAGTAGGAGGAAGTCACACTTCCCTGTTAAAATCTGGAGGCTGTGTAGCAGCAGTGCTGGACTGTGCAGCCATACATTTTCAACCATGCGTACCTGCTCTTGCAGTCTGAATCTGTATTTGGAAAATGCCATTGCTACATCAGATTCCACATCTTTCATACGCATTTGCCTTCTCCAGCCTGGTGTCCTCCAGATGTGTTGGACTGAATTGTCCATCCTCCCCATGGCCTTGGGCTGAGAATGATGGGAACTGCAGTCCAATGCATCTGGAGGACATCAGGTTCCTCCCCCCAGCACAGAAAATGTATAAACATGTATATTCAGTCACTCTCTCACTCAAAAAGCTACCCGATTTTTAGAAGCCTTCTAAACATTTCTGCTTTTAAATGCCAGAGAGGTAAACTATCCCATTGTAAATTGGAGTTTGACACAAGAGCTTCCAGATGCAAAGCTCCGAGCACTACCAACCAGAAGGCACTGTGCAACTATTCCACCTTTTTCCCCTTAATGGTGAGGATGGATGGAGTGGTAGGAACCGTGGGAAGGGTGCAAGTGCTAGGCGACAACAGCCTGGCCCCTCATTCCATGGGCGAGGCAGAGGGATGGTGGGCTGGCCTGGAAAAGGCCTCATCTGGAAACGCCTCTGCACACACAGTGGCAGCCCCACAGGCACCATGCCTAGTTGGCATGATGTCTGAGCTACCATTGCAAGAACTACTGCCTCGGGTTTGCATCCTGCTCGCTTTTGCTAGTAGCATCCACAGCTCGGCATCCCTTGCTACCTTCATGGCCACCCCTTGGCTTTCAGGCAGGGCAAGATGCAGCAGGATGATACCACATCACACATTCTGCTTATCCAGCCATTACATGGAAGAAGGCAGTGGTAGTCCCATCATAATGTCTAATGAAGTCCCAAACCTTTTCTTAAACTTCTGACCACTTGCCTTCATGTATAGATATTTAAGTAAGTTGCTGTATAGATCACAGCTGTGTGCCATTTCTCAGCTTGGTCTAGTCTTCTTTAAAATCAGTTAATTAGACCCTTCCCACAGGGTTGAATGCATTGACTTTATGTATAATGAAACAGCAAATCTGAAGTCATCCGTGGCTACTGTCCTCCGTGTATTCAACAAGATCAAATAAACATACACAATTTTTTAGTAAAAGAACAAAGCATCAAAGTCCTTCTTAGCAGTTAGTAACACTTCTTAAATAAGACATAGCAATTAAATACTCTGTAGGCCACAATGTGGCATTGAGAATGGCTCATTAGAAAATAGAGAACAATTCCTTGAAACTTCCGTTTGGCTGTAAAAAGAATCAACCTTGGTGATAAGCAAGATAAGAAAAAAGTGTAAATAAATCACACACTTTATAGGAATGTGACAAGTTTGGGCATTCAGTTTGCAGAGTACCTAACATGAGTACAAAGAACTTGGGAACCCTGGAAAAATACATTTCCCAGGGTCCCTAGCACTGCGGCATTGGCTGTTTGGGGAGATCTGCTGCAAGATTTCCCCAATCTTGCCAGTGCCCCAGATCAGCCTTGTTGACTGGGGTGGCAGGACTGAGCATGAGAACTTCTGGGGAGACTTCGAGGGAGGTGTTCCGACCCCTTTCAGGGTCACAATGATGTTAGGGATAACTGGGATTGGAAAAATGTGCACAATGCTTGGTGAGAGTGAGCACGTGCATGGCTGCAAAACAGCCTGCTTGTTGAACCCAGCCCTAAATCAGACTGTGGGGACTTTGCCTGCCACCAGTGCTCAAGCCACCTCGATTTTTTGCAGCTGTGCATAATGACTATGGTGGAAGCTAAGATACTCCAACTGGTCAAAGAAAAGACAAGATTCCGCAGACTTGCTTTCCTGCACCCCTGAACTCCCACACAAAAGAACAGTCCAGATTAACTTTCATTTAGGGAAAGTTAGTCAAGCTTACCTCCAATGGGGAAGGTTGGTTGTAACTTAACTGGTTTCAGGAAGACAAAGCTGAAAAGGAAACCCCTTCAGGCATTCCAGCCTGCCTGCCCAGCCATCTTTGCACTGGGAAGGTCTCTAAGTGGAACCTGCTGCACTTAGGTTCTTCTTGCGACTGTGCAGCAGCCTCTATCATGGGCCGGGGGAGCCGATGCACACAAAACAGACTTCCCTTTGCAAGCATTTCCCTGCATTGCTTGTCAGGCTGTGTGGCTGGGATGGGATGAGGCTGCACTTTGCCACTCCGTGATTGTAATCACATGGCCCTAATACCTAAATGGGGCCTTTATATGCAGAGATCCTCTTCTACTTTCGGTTATCGGCTTCTTCTGTGTTAAGGTTCACACTTGTGTAGAACCTGACTGTCATCTAAGCAAGTTGAAATGAATGCAAGGACCATGTTAACAGAATGAATAAAGAGTCTTGCATACATGATGAAGAGGCAGCATCCACTGTTCTATGGGAGTCATTCAAGAAAGAAATGACACAGGGTTGAAGAAAGCACAGGAACCTTCTCGGGGTTTAGCTACATGTTGCATAGGGTTCTCTGATCCTATACAATGGCATTTTCTTTTTCCTTTGCACAATGCATCCGTGAGACTGCAATTTGGAGGGGGTGCCTCTTTTCCCCAGAGAGGGTAAAAACAATTCTGGAGCAACGAGTGATTTTTCAGCAGAAGGGCAGAGCAAGACAAAAGGGACAAGAAGCTGCTCTCCTCTCATCTTGGGCTTTCCTTTCTGCATGGCATGAACTAGGGGTGGTATGTTAAAAGAATCATGGAACGATGTGTAACTTGTAGTTTTACTATCAGTGGGAGAAGACGGAAAAGAGGGAGAGAATAAAGAATTAAAGAAAGAGCAGCAGCAAGAGGGAAGCTTTATCCATTACACAAGAAACTAATTCTTGAATATTGTAAGAAGGGTTAAGCGGAAACTGCTCACCTTTGTTTCTAAGACTGTTGAAGAGCAGGCCCCATGTTTTGCTATATCATGCTATGCATGATGTTGTTCTGACACTCTTCTTTGCCCTCGCTGTCCTCAATTTCATTTGCCTTTATCACTATTTCATTCTGATTGGCTGTGGGGAACTCAAATGATTCTGTGGATGATTGGGATGCTACATAATGTCACCCTGGATATATGTGAGGATCTCATAGGTCTCCACAGCTAATAGCTTGAATAACTTGAGGGCAACTGGGGCTGAGGTCAGATAGGATAAGGAGGAAGAAATTGGATGCCAAGGGAACAAAAACACCCCCAAATCCATCAAACACTGCACATCTTTAGCAAGAGGAGCATGTTTCCAGTAATTTGTTCAGCTGCACTAGAGGTGCTAATTTCAAAGGAAATATTGAAATGAAAGATATTTACTGCAATTGTAATGGTAACAGTTATCAAGTGATGAAATTATCTTTTCCCTACTCTTCATTTAGGTGATAACTGAAGGTACTTCCTCTATGGACACAGATGCTTGCAAGATGTTTCTTCAGTAAATTTTGATGGTTGGCTACTAGCTCTAACACATTTCACCTGTTTGGAGGGTGGGGGTTCTGGAATGTAGGTAGTGGAAACAGAGGTTTCTGAAGGACATGATGTTTGCTTTTGGGAACTGATGTTGTTTGTACTGTCTTTCTGGATGTTTGCCTTCTTCAAGGTCAGTTTGAGTTCTGGTAAATAGATATTGAAGGGAAGAAGCCCATCATAAATCACCAGCATGCTCTCCTTCCAGGGAAACTGATTCTATAGCAGCTGCCCTTGGAACTTTCTACTGTTTGGGAGATCGGGGAACTAGGAAACAATATGTTTGGTCTAAACTGAAAACAGATGTAGGCTTGTTGTAAAGTCTTTTGCCATTCGTGATGTGGCTCGGACTTCTCAGCAGAGCAACATCTAGGCAGTGCAATAGTGTATTGACAGTAGAAACGCAGCACAGATTTTTTATGTATGCACAGTTGAGTATGAAGCCTATGCATGCCAGGTCAGAGAAGTGCGTATCAGATGAGTGGTTGTTGATCTGAATGAAAGGCATTTCAGACCTGACTTCAAGGGCTCTCCCTCCCCATAATCATCAAGCAAGCAGCTATGCAGGAAGGGCTGCTCAGCACCCAACAAATCAATGATCAGGGTGATAAACATATGCTTATGCACCAAGCTAAGCTATGGATGCTGGGACGACCAGCAGCTTAGATAGCTTTAAAATGGGTTCAGGCAGATGCACGGAGGATAAGGATTTCAGTGGCTATTCGTTATGAGGCAGGGGAAGGCTACTGCTCCGTGGGCCTCCGATAGGCACCTGGTTGGTCACCAAGGAACAGGAGCTGGGCCTTGATAGGCCCTTGGATGGATGCAGCCAGGCTCTTCCTATGGTCTTATGAATGCCTGCGATATCATCATACAGTCCCTCCTACAGCCAGGCTCAAAAGGCTTCTTAAGCTCCTGCCAAGCATTTGTTGCTACTTCAGGGGAAATCTTGACTTTTCTTTTTCTTTGGATAGCTGACCCCCCCCTGGCATATCACAGATGGCTTTTGAAATTCCCTTAGTTTCAAAAGCAATTTTCCATTTGGCACGAGGAACTGCTGTATGTGAAAAAAGTACTTTTAATTAAATGCCTTTGGGCTCATGCTTCTTTGCTGGGGATTGTGGGCTTGTCCCAGGGTTTCAGAGTGGTGTGTAAACCACACCATCACCTCCCTTTGCTAGGTTCAGAAGTCACAACAACCTATGCCATGAAGGTAACTATGCTAATTAGGTAGCTTGTAACCAGCACACAAGGAAAGGAAAACTGCCATGGCAGCCTAATTTCCTTCTGTCCATAATTTATTTTTCCACATTTTAGATTCCATTCACTTAAAGATATTTGAACAGAACTACAATAAACTTTTGGCACTGAGTTCAGATTCTACCTGCCTTGTTAATAAAGGAAGACCCTCAGCTAGCCATTGTTGAGAGACTGATTTGAAACAGGTTAATCAAATATTGCTTAAACAGATTGCAGGAATTAGATTACAAAGAGGGAGTACAACTTACGTGATGGTCTCTCAGGCATTCAGTATACGTGACCCAACATACAGATGCTGCACATACTTCATATGAAACCCCAGCAAAAAGTATGCTATGAATACATGTCTATGTTTTAACAGGCTGTTGCAGCAAAACCAGGGTGTCTGGTGGCACTTAAGAACCAGCACGTTTATGGTGGCTTATGCTTTCACAGAAGTGGACTGCAGTCCATGAAAGCTCATGCCATTATAAACCTGTTAGTCATCACGGTGCCACAAGATGGTTGCTGCTCTGTTTGCTGATGTCAGTGGGGCTTAGTTCAATCCACTGCAGGCAGGGCGGGGTTCTAGCTGAGTGCAAAAGAGCCCTGAACCCACCTTGCTCCATGGCTGTGCATGCATGGAGGTGAGCCTTCTATATGGCATGGGAGGCTTGCATGCACCTTTCATGTCTCTGGCCAACCTCCTCCAAGAACACACGTTCCGGGCTCACATACCGGGTTGTGGAGAACCCATAGGGCTGAAGCTCTGGGGCTCCTTACTTAGCACAGAAGATGGCATCCCCTGCCACCCCTTCTGAGCTCCCAGACCTTCAGCATCCCTCACCATAGCTGCGGCTGGGGGCACGATGTTCCCGGCAACAGTATCATTCTGAGCACTCCTTGGGACCATGGCTATGGTGAAGGCCATAGTGATCAGCTGCACTTCAAGATTTACCACCATCCCTTAATGAACCGAAGAGAGGGAAGGGCTGCATGGGGATGGGAGGTGTCTTGCAATGTCACCCTGGGCGTCTGGAAATGTATACTGTGGGGCAAAGGGGAAGAAGATGAGCTGTGCAATGCCCTCCACGGATCCCTTCTGGTTATGCTAGAACAGAGTACCCAGAGGGAAATGAATGGAGGCTGTGGGGTATCATAGAAAGGGCCTATCACAAAATCCTACCTTTTTATTATAGGCTAACAAAGTGAATGTGGTACAGAAGCCTTGTTGTAAAACAAAACAAACAAAAAAACAAAATAAAACAAGCCCCAAAAGCCCTGAAATAAAAGAAAATGCTGGAGAGAGAGAAATAAATAAATAAAAGGAAACATAACCAAAATCAAATGAACTTACCATACTGCGAGTGAACTTTTCTAGAGAAGTTCTACGACCTTGCTCATTCTCGGGCTTTAGAAGGGGAAAAAAAAGTTAGGAAGGAAAAAAAAATACCAAAGACAAAACAAAGAACCCCTTCAGCTTAAAACTTGCTTTAAAGGCATTAGCAAAGGGAAGACAAGAAAAAAGCCTGCACATTTCAGACACACGGTGAGTGCTGTTTGCTACAGCAAAGCGACAGGAACTTTTGCACTATAGTGCTCTTGGCCGCATTCGCATTGTGAAGCATCCCCTCCCCTTGCCTTAAACTGCAGCTCTAGAGTTTGGGCAAGATCCAGCAGGGCACTGCGCCCACCTCAGTTCTGTTCTATCCCACTGATTCTCTTCCGCAAGTGGGGGGTCCTGCCAATTTCACTGTGCAAGCAGGACGTGTCAGTTACACGAGGAAGATTTAGTGCCGCCCAGAGGAAGCCCGGAATGAGTGGAAATGCCTGTTTCTGGAAGGAGGCAGGTCAGTGGAACAAGCCACTCCACTCACCTCAGGTTGCCCCAGGAATGTTAAATGCAGTTGCGCCAGGTTGAGATGTAAGAGAATCGGCGAGGGTACAAGTACCTCATCGGATTCTGCCCTTTGGTCCCAAATCACCTATTTCACGAGGAGGATCTGTAATGCTTCACCCGGCATCTCTGTCTCTGAATGCTTTTCTATCCCTGCACTACATCTATCAGGATGGCACCTTAGGTTTCCCAGCCAGCAGACAACAGTCTGCTATTGGAGAGGGAATGACTTAAAATGGCACTGTCCCTCATTGCCCTCTCCTGCAGACTCTCGCCTCCCTTTGCTGGCTTCTGTCCCCCTCCCCTTGTCGATTTGGATGGGATGCATATTCTTAACTTAGATTAGGAGTTGCTTCTGAATGGAGTTGGATCAGGGTGCATATCCACGGAGACGGAACAACTGTCTTACTACATTGTTGCATTTAATCAGAGAAATGTGCAGGGTGGGTGGGGTAGGGCTATTCTGCCATGGTTTTTCATCCTGTGCTCTGAGGAACTGTTCTTGGACAGCTTCCCAGGTGTTCCTAACAGACTGCCTGCCACAACTTATTTATCCCTGCAGTGTGCAGGTAGTTTGGGCAAGGTTCCCAAATCCTGGCCTTGGCCTCAGGTGTTCCAATGTGCTAGGATATGCCCCAGAAGCCTCTGCTCCTCATATCTCAACAACAAATAAACCAATGCATTTCCTGAAGGCAAATGCTTTGAAATCCACTGAGACAACAGAATGAATGTAAGGAGCATGTGGGCAAACAGTTAACACCAACGCGTCCGATATATAGTAGGATTTAAGAAGATTGGATGAATTCTTCTAATTGGCAGTGATAACAGTAATTTATTTGGCTATTTATAGTTTGTCTTTCTACGATAAAATAGAATTCAAAGTGACTTAAAATAAATAAATTTATGTTCTAGCTTTGTGATATGCCTCAAGCTCTGCTAATTAATACCAATGGAGGTATTAGATATTTAACATTACGTTTTGCTTAGTCCAAAGATGACAGATCAAGATACCTGTTCTCTGCTTTGGTCAACATTTGAGGTGTTGGCGGTCTACTCAGGTGCAAGTCCCACTGTATACAGTGGGGTTGAGTTTCACAGCAATTGGTGACATAAAGTTTAGGTATGATGAGGCTTTGGTACCATCATTTTTTAAAAGGTATGATTATTTATTTTGTGTTTTGCTACTCCAAAACTAGAAATGGAAATAAAATAATATTATAATAAGAAAGCCATAGACACAACAGATATGCCACCATTCTCCAGAGAAACACCAAGCAGCTCATTTGGCATGAGACAAATCCTATTAAATAGGAACAAAGAATTCATGTTGATGGCAGGCATGCAGTTCTGCTGAATAAAGGAATTATAATGGATGGAGGGAAAGCCACAGTGCACAGTGCCAGGGTCCCTGTCTAGCCTTGGTTCACCTAGACTTGGAGGTCTGTGAATCATGGGTTTACGATGGGTTTATTGGTGACATAACTTTTTTTCTAAGCAAAGAGCAAGGAAATCTGATAGAGCTGAGGACTGTATTAAGATCTGCCATGCTTCAAATCAAATAAAGCAAGGAAAAGAAAACCATTGCTCCAGGAAGCAGGGAAGCACATAACGACATTACTTCAATGCTCTGCTTTGCAAGTAATGTTTCTAAAATTGCCTCCTTCCTGTCTACTAATACAGCTTGAGGAGAGGGGAGGAGAACGATCCAACGGGGGAGTGGCAAAAGAGCAAGACCTTTGGAAAACTCATTTTCATTCATTCCAACAGCACTATTCAACTCACCCTGGATACAGAAAGCTAAGAATGGCCAGTTGTTGATTGTGACTTATAGCTCAGTCGAGATCTACACTCTGGTGCTTGAGAAGAAGGAGTCAGTATTGGAAAGGGTGACCGAAGTTTCTTCCAGGGATCTGGCTATAAGGGACCTCCTCCTAGGGTCTACAGCTGTCATCATCCCCACCCAGCATGGCTCTTTGGAAAAGGCTGGTCAATAGGGACTAATCAGGTAACAGTCATTAACATACTGCCTATAGCAAGAGTAGGCAGGGACACATTTTTCAGGTTTTAAAAAATCCCATAGAGAGCAGGCTGGAAAAATGGAGGCATGGAACAGCTGCTTTTTTTGCCAGCAAACCTTACGAGTGCATGACAGAAGAATCGATGTTTCAGCACCAAGGCTCTTGGGGACAGGGCTTCAGTTGGAACGGTTACTGGTACAGTTTTCCCTATTCATCAAAATGCTTGGAATCCAAATCATACTGCTTGGGACACCTCGGGATTAATGCCTAATCTGCATTAGGTTACTGCAGAAATGATTTAAAAAGAAGCCTGCATGTCTGTAAACTAAATATTTTCAACATGACAGTGTTCTCATTTTGGGAAATTCTGCACTTCTGAACTATTCTTTCAAATAGCCTTCAAATTACTTACAAAATGACTTTTACTTTTCAGATTACATGTAGCACCAGAACGTAAAGTTCCTTTTGGCTGCAGGAAACCCTTGTATGCATAATTAAAAACATTTGGGACTAGAGACTTAGGCTAGCACAGTTTTCATTGTTGGGGAAATAAAGCCCTCCAGTGGTTTGCTGAAAACACAAAACAACCATGGTGGTTGCTGCTGGATTTTGGCGGCAGACTGCGTTCTGTTTGTTCTTTAGTACTGCTGTACTCCACGTTCAGTGTTGTGGCAAGAACCACAGAAGGGGATGAGAATCCACAGGATGCCCACTCCTGTCTTTTGGATTTGTGGGTACATTTGGGAATTCGAGAGCTGCGGTAAACACAAGCACAAAATGGCTCCCGCAAGGGTGTGGCTAGCCACATAAAGAGCTGCCATGGCGCCTGGATGGCCAACAGGGAACTAAGGAGTTGAGTGTGTTGAGCAGGCAAAAGAGCAAGGTTATAGGCTGGGAGGGAGGGAGGAATAACAAGGCAGAGGGGGAGAGGGGAGAGAACGAGGAAGGCTAGAGGCCAGAAAGTGAAAGAAAGAAGGCTGCCCTAATCTTTTCCAAGGTTTTTCCTAAGATGACTTTTTCCAAAAAGGACAGGGAGGAGAGAGTTTTATGGGTGCTGTTGGAGATCTCAGGGGGTGTTGTGTGGAGGGCCCACTGCCTTGCAAGTCTCTTGTAAGGATTACCGAAATAATGCCCAGCAAGCATTTTGAAAATTTGAAAAGCACTAACGCACAGTAGGGCAGCAATCCAAAACACATTTCCTCTCATAGAGTGGTTATGCATTTCCAAAGAGACATGCATAGGATTGTACTAGAAGTGTGATTAATATATTGACGCCTATCAAAGAAAGGGAAGTGTACATTGGTTATCAGCCGCATTCCTGCCTACCTGTATACATTGTTAATGTTTGGATCTTTGTTTCCATGGCAGACCTTTGCCTGGTTGGATTCAGGTAAGTAAGTATCATTTTGCAAATGAGAGACAATAAGAATGCAGTCCTGTGCATGTTTTCTGGCTGACAGGGGAATGCTGGGAGTTGCAGGGATTTTTCTGTCCAGCCACGCATTGGATTGGGCCTTTGCTTGTTTATTCTAAAGCAGTTAGAATAATGTCAAACCACCATACTGTGCACTGAACAAGTGTGGCACTCATTAATAGCTGTAAGTACATCACATATAAATCTACAGAATCTGATTTAGGCATATCTCAGAGTGCCCCAAAAGAATGCGGAGGAGAAGACATTGCCACAAGAGAGCAAACCAGTCCATTGATTCTACAAAGCAGCTGGGCATGGCAATCGGAAGTAAAAGATGCTGAAAGTGCTTATTCAAGTTAGCTGCAGAAAAGTGCGAGATAAAATGTGGGGTCCACATGTTTATCATTTCTATGATATTTTCCCCTGGCCTTTCCCCCTACTATCTGCTTCCTCCCACTTCATCCCCCGCACAGCAAGTTCACTGAACGTGCGCTAGATTGCCAAGATGTGTCATCACTTCAGACAGAAAATCTCCTCCAAGAGGTCATTTGGAATACAACAATATGTTTAGCTACATACAGATTTGAAACAGGCTAGTCCTAAGACTGTGCTCACAACAGTGATGAAACTCCATGGGGAAGTCATGCAACTCATCAGAGCAAATGGAGCTGACACTCACGCAGGCCAAGGATAAGAACTAAAACATATCGATAGGATAACTACTATACCAGGACAATTAAATCATGTTATATTAGCACAGTTTAAAATAAGACATCATCACTGGAGTTCTTTGCTTCACCAAGCTTTGCAAGCCCAGATGTCACTTTTCTCTATATGAAAACTAGTCACACACTCAGAAACACACACTGAAATGCCTTTTCCAGTCAGCTGCTAGATGGACAAGCTTCACCCTCACAATTCCGAGATGGCTCGGATACTACCTGCCCCCTGTGCCCCATCCTTCCACCCTGCCTGTCAGTGATGGATCAGGGATGGGATTGTGGCATCCTCCTTCAGGATGCTTTGCTTTATAGTGCCTTGTTTCCACAAGGGAGGAGTTGCAGTATCTTTATCAGGCTGAGCACTTCTTGCTGTTCTTTTGCAGCAGCAGTGCTCATAGACACCCTTTCCAGTTTTGAAATCACACCAAAGCCAGAGAATCTCAGCAAGGCTACATCCCTCTGCTCTGAGCGATTGTGCAGTCCCATGCATCTTTCACTTTTAAGCGTTTTTTTTTTACTTTGGGGATGTGCACCTCCTGCAAGCTCTAGAGCACATAACCCAATGCTTTTTCTTTTCTTTTTTCTTTTCCATTCCTTTCTTTTCTTAGAATTCCATCACACAAGACAGGTGAGTGGCTGCCCCACTGAAAAAGGACTGCTCCACCATCTACTGCAAATGGTCACAATAGTCCACTATCACCACAGGACCCAGGACAGTACTGCGTTCATACTCGAAAGGAAATCTGATTATTTTCATCATCTGACATGACCCTAACAGAGGTAGAGGAAGATGCTTACTGACAACCACTGGGCACCCCGGGCAACCATGAAGAGTTATCTAAAAGCAGGATGTGCTGGAAAGTGGACCCACCAAGCCGAACACAACCAAGTGGAAAGCCATGTGTGGCTGTCCATCAGGATCTGAGCACCAGTCTGAAGAGCAACAACAAATCTACCTGCAACAAAAATGACCCTATGAGCACCATGTCGTCTGGACGTTCACATTCCAGCTGGGCTTCATTCCATGTATCCCTTTAAAAGTCCACTGAAGGCAATGCCTGGTGGAACAGCAGATCTCATTTGAAATATTGCCTCTATACAACATGTGCAGTGACAGCATGTAAAATATGGCTCTGAGAAGCCCTGAGCACTCTCCTGTAGCTACGTAAAGGCAGAAGGGTACAGTGCATTGCAGTGAATCGTTCCCACACACTAGATCCAAACCGGTGGCTCCTTACTTGTGAGTTGGCTAACCTGTACAAGGGCCCTGCTCATGCCAGGAACGCTGCTGAATGCGCATCTTCACTTCAGTGCCAAGAAGAGCTCTGTAGGCACTTCTCCGCTATGCATGAGAGGCTGCCCACCCAGAAACAGATGTGACGTTTAGCTCAGGAACTCCAGCCGTGTCTTGGAGCTCCTGAACACACAGGGGGCCACTGCATGGTGGAAAATATCTTCTATAATTCAGTGCACACCGGCACTCCAGCAGAGATTTGCTCAGGCTGGCTTTAATGCAGCAGCATGTGGATGCCCCAGCAGGATGGAGAGTGCAGAGAGCAAAGCAAAAGGAAACGGTAGCAAGCTCAGGCTGCAGAGGCTGGGGGGAAGATCGAGAGAGTCGCCTTCCTGACCCCGGTGGCCCCAGTTGTGCTGGACTGCTGGCTGGGCGTGGTGACAGCTGCCGCTCAACACCGCTGGAGGGCTCCAGGCTTGGGAAGCTGGTCTAAAGAATCTTGAACGTTTATGCTGTGCAGCAGCATGAGGACAATCTCCCCCTCATGCATGCATGCATACAGCATGGTTCTGGGAGGAGGGCCTTCTGCCAGAAACGCAGTCACAAGTGGACAGAAACAGACTTTGGCTGTCCTCCCAGTCTGCTCCAGAGAAAACTGCCCATCCAGGACCTGGAAATCCAAACACCAAACCCTTTGCTATTTTGACCTGGCCATGCTGGTATCAATGGGCATGCTGATATCAAAAGGAGGAAATTAATGGAAAGGCGTGCTGCTTTTGAGGAAAGATCAGCCTGGGTTGTAATTAGTACTCATTGAAAAGATGGACGCCACCTACATTCAGTAAAAGGGAGCGGATGAGAAATTCTGAGGAAGCCTCCAGGTAAGGCATCCCAAGAAGAACCAGGAGGGTCACCTTAAGAGACTAAACAGGAGGAGATTTTGATCTGCACCCCAGTTGTTACCACCATAAGGAGCAGATTCACAGCACATGTCAGTCTTTCCCACCTAGGTGTCCTGAACTTCAGCTCCCATCATCCCCTGCCACTATGTCTAATAATCAGTGATGCTGGACCCTGAAGTGCAAAACCTTAGGAGGGTCCCAGGCTGGGGAAGGCTGGCTGCCACATTTTACAGGCTGCCACTATCTTTAACCAGAAGAGTGGAATTTTACTGCCCCATGTGAAGTGCAAAGGACCCTTGCAGGGGAGCCACCGGTTGCACACAGGAAGGCCTAGGTGAGGCTGGAGGATCTCCAGGCAGGGCTGGGGAGGACCCACTGCTTAGAGATCTTCCAGACACACTGCCAATTAGAAGACATGATTGGAGCCTTAGGTAGACCAATGGTCCGCCTCAGCAGATGGCAGCTGATATTTCAAGAGACTCTTGTAGAGGACGATCAGACTGGGTGTTCCTCCCACGCATTGCTGGAGTTGCTTCTAGGGATGCCCGGCATGGAGGTTTGAGGAGGGAAGAAAAGTGTTCCGATTCCTTTGGCAGGAAAGGGAAGAAGCCCCACCTCATTCCCACCCGAGGAAAAAAACCCTCCTAAATTTTCATGTTCACACAACAGCAAGCAGCAGGCAGGAGTCAAGAAGTGCTCAGAGATGCAAGCATGTCCTTCCCAATAGATACCTTCTTCTTTGCCAGCAACAAGTCTTGATAAGCATTAGAACGGAGAAAACGTGCATAGCTGTCACTCTTCATCAGCTTGTAAATATGTTCCTGTGGGAAGGGAAGAAATGACAGGCTAAGATTTATTACTGGACATCAGTCAACATTTTCTGGGCATCTGTAAGAGAGAAAGAAAACACTTTCTGAGGCACAAGTGGGGTATTTTTTATCCCTTTGGTATGATGAGTGTTCATCAGAGAGTACCCTAGATAATCTATCTACTAGGAGAAAGGATATTGTATCATATAATGAGTTTGGTCTTGGACAGAAAGGACTTTGGTGATAGATGGGGATGTTGGAAAAATCTGCAACAGATTCAAATGAACACATGTTTCTGTGAATCCGAGCTGTGCATTTTGCAGCAGGCTTGGTTCTTCTAAATTGCACAGTTTCTGTGGGCTTGCAGACCAGTTGTTTTACTTTTCTGGAGAGGGAGATTTGTACAAATTTGTATGTGTGCTAATGAGTATTAAATACACTTGGCATTAGCATTAATTTACATTAGTGCAAGCAGAACAAACTTCCCAAACTTCCCTAAAAATATCTGATTATGGCAATGAGTGGATGATTAAATGAACAACACCTCACAATCTGTGTAACAGATGGAATAGATTTAACAAAATATATACATCCCTAGTTATGGAACAAGTATTTATCATAGGATTCCTTATGCCATCAGAATAATTATCTCCCACTTTTCATTCCAAAGATCCTCAAACCAACTTACTCTTCATTTTCTCAGAAGCTGGGCAGGAGCTCATTAGAAATGTGAGCATTAAAAATATCTCCAAACCTGTCCTGGTGTTCTCTACTCATGGTTTAACACATTTAAAACATTTTAAAATATTCTGTAGGAAAAAATGCAAATACTTGGCAGCTACCTCTTCAGTTTTGCAACTGAATTGCCTTGTTTGGACTGGGAATGAAGAATTGGAATACATTTATGATATAAACAACATTGCTCCCATCCAGCTAGAGTGAATGATACATATGCAGAAGCAACACAAATTGTGTTATGTCCACGTTTTTCTCCTCCAGGAAGCACCTTCTGAAGCTGCATACAAGGTACCTATCAAGAACTGTGCACATGCATAACTCAAGTGCAGAAAGATCAATTAAAAACAACAGCAGTGTGTGGAGAAAATAGCACTACTCAGAAAGGCAATTGTATGAAGGAGAGAAAAGAACTTGGGATTTCAAAAATTCATTAGTGGGAGAAAGCAAAACTGACACCTTCACCCATCCCTAATAACTACATATGGATTAGCTTTAGGAAGGCATAGGTAGAGACTGGGAGACAGCAGCACCATTACCATTCCACTGCTGGGTTTCAAAGACTGATATAGTGTAATCGTTTAATATTGAGCTTGGAATACTAATGAAGGGTGCAGAAGGAACTGGGCATGCCAGCATGAGCCAGCCAACTGATTCTTTGAGTGCAAAGGTTTGGTGGCTCCTTCTCAAATCCTTGAGTGGCACCAGTGCTGCAGGTGATCATTCTCACACCCATGCAACTTTGCCAGGAAAAGGTGGTTCTCCTTTGCAACCTGCAGAGCGTACCTTCTAGCTTCCACAGCGGTCTGAAAGAGCCACTGTTTGCAAAAGCTGCCATTTGAATGAGCACTTCTGTGATAGTTCAGTCTTCCATGTACAGTGACTTCGGGGTGTGGGGGGAAATCCTTATGATAACTGATTAGATCGATTAAACTCTGTCCCCCTGTGGAGATGCCAATAATATCTGCTGATGCAACATGACGGCTAAAATATGTGGAGCCTGCAGCCCACAAAGGGAAGATGCAATTAGCGCTTGGCATTGAAAAACAGACTTGAGTGCGAAAGGGGAGTCAAGCACTTTGGGAAAGGGTTGATAGGAAAATAGGTGGAAATCAATTTGACTGTTCTATTCCCACTGCTCGCCTGGCCTGCTTTCATGTGCCCCATCACCACTCTCATGTAGGGGTCAGAACTGAATGTGTCATCATTTTAAAAGAGCACAGAAATCATTAAAAACCTGGCAGATGGAGACAGCACTCTTTAATCATCACACTCCCCTTACTATTATTTCCTTGGATTACAGTTTTCCAGGTTTTGGTAGAAAGGTGCCCTTCTCAGTGAAGCAGTTTTAGAAAGCTCCATGACTTAGTTCTGGCAGTCTAAGAAGCATCACAAAATGACTTCTACTCTTTTGGAAGCAGCAGCTGCGGGAGCAGCAGCCTTGACCACTATCATCTCGTATACATTTTTTGGCATCTTTCCATTTGGTCCTACATTGATATGAGTCATCAGTGAGCATTTACTTCCAGTTTTAAACAGGCAAAGCTAATATTAACATTTAGCAACATTAAAGTTCACAATTTCCCTGTTTTTAACATGACATTTGCTATCTAGAAGTTGGGTTTTTTAAGAAGCTTGGGATGGGAACAGAAGATCATTTTCTGTCCCAGCTCCTACTCTTCATACTAAAGGCATATCACAAAATTCTGAAGGGAAGTGAGGAGGTGCATAAAGCTGTAAAGAGGCCTGTCCTACCCAGACCTCAGTGTAATTCTACCACTACTGAAGGTTACATCTGTTTCTACTGAAAATACAACTTTGGCAGCTGGTGTCCCTCCTGCACTTTTTTTTTCTTTCCTGGTCTGGAGATAATGGGGTGGGAAAAACTTCATCTGGTGAATTTCTTTCTGTGCATCAAGCTGTTCTGAAAGGCAGCAGATAGGGTGGCTGCACAACCACATATACTGAACTAGGGGAAGCAGGATCAGAGCCAGCCAGGAGATCACTCTTTGGAGATGGAGTTAGCAGTTGGTATTTTGCATTATTAGGCATCCACATACTTTTCCCCCTTCCCCCACGTATTACACCCTCTGTCACTTTAGAGACCTTGGAAGCAGTCAGACTATCTATACTTCTAGCTCAGTATTGTTTATTCTGACCAGCAGTGGCTCCAAAGGTTTTCAGCAGAGGTTTTTCACGTCCCCCTTGGAAGGTTACCAACCCCGTTGCTCTTCAGAGCATTTATCATGTGCTTGTCATTCCCCACTCATGGTTATTTATGGGTTCCTGAGCTGATGAGGTGAGCCTCCACTTTCACTTCTGTGTCTGAAGAGCACTTGCAGCAAGATTTTTAGAACAGGGAAAACAGGATATTAGGAGCATAAACCCGTGTGCTCTTGGTCAGATGCATGTATGCCTCCAGACGTGGAAGCTTGCATGGCTCCAACACATGGAGTGAGGAATGCTGGTGGCAATCTCTGCGTCCACCATGCCTCGTGTCAGGTATTTACACTAGATGGATGTTCCTGGCCATCAAGCTTCAGTGCCAGCAGGGAAGGAGGCTGGGGCACTGATAGGAAAAGGCGCAAGCCTTCCCCCTTCCCAGCATCCAGCAAAGGCTCAGCAGTGTACTAGCTAAGAGGGGGACCAGCAGAGCACTTGACCTTTGGAGTCCAGCTCCAGGGTCATAAGGGCCTCCAATCTAGGGCTTCAAAAATCCAGTGGCCCTCCAGACAATCTTAGGAGGCCACTGGATTGTGCTTTAAATTGCCAAAGTGAAAGAAACCATTTCTTCTCTTGTGTATTTGTGCTATTGTGCTTGAGCTTGTGCCTGAAGGTTGTGTAGTGGAAAAGCAGAAAGGGAAACGCTCTTCCTGTAGTGCTGAGTTCTCAGTTTGATGACAAAACTGGAGGTAGATAAACTGACAGCAGATTGATAGCCTCACATGGAAAACTCTCTCTCTCTCTCTCCCTCTCCCTCTCTCTCTCTCCCTCTCTCTCTCACACACACACACACCCAGACCCACGTGTGCGGCCTGAATAGCTCTCTAAACCTCTGTTCCAGGTTGCTGAACAGGAGCACTTGTATCAGGGGCTGGGGCTCCTGTGCGCCATTTTGCTGCACGTCACGTGCCATTCCTAATATCCATTGCTAGACCTGTTCTCTATGAATTTGCCCAATCCATCTTGGAAGCACTTTAACCTAGTGGCCAGACCAGCGTATTTTTGGCACTGAGTTCTGTAAGTTAATTAAGCCTAGTATGAAGGAATACTTCTTTTTGACAGTCTTCCTGAACCTATTGCCAATAAAAAACTCAGGCCCTGTCAAGAGCAGAATATGGTCAGAAAGATCCATTACACAGGGTCATACTACATGATGCTCAGTTGCATGATTATCTTCCCAAAGCATTATCCAAAGCAGCTGCCAGAAGCAACAATCTGGAACGGAAATTCTCACTGGGAAAGGAGGAAGGGCTCTAATCTCTTTCCCTGTGGATAAATTTTTATCCACATTTTCAGCTCTTTTTCACCTGTTGGGGAAAAGATACCAGCACTTCAGGAAAAAATCTCTGTCTATTTATCATGATGCCCTTCTGCATGCTAAATTTCAGGAGAATATAGAACATAAAAAACAATAACATTTATAATGACATTTTATGAGGTTTTTAGCCACTGCAGTAACTTCTGTTTTGTTTTTGTGAAGAACTGGCTGGGCATTTCAATATGGCTGTCCTTGCAATAATATATTGTCAGGAAAAATGTCTGTACTTCTGCTGATGAGCCATCCTAGAACAAAGGTGGTAATAAAACAATTAGAAAAGTGTGAGATGGAAACACACAGCTAGCATGGCTGATACCTGAGTAGGAGGGAATTAAACATAAAGAAACAGAAATCCTGCCTCCCTTTTCCTTGTTCTGCTGCCATGTGCCATATCTTGGGAAGGAGATGAAGGACATGCTCCATAAATTTTCTTGAAACTGGCAAAAAGGGGCCGAAAACAACCACGCAGGAATCCTGATGGGAATGAGGGAGGCAGGGTAGTATGGAAGCTGCTTTGATAAGGCACCTGCTTCAAATCAATGTGGTGCAAGGAGTCCTTCACTCTCTCCCTCGCTCTCTTTCTCTCCCACAGCAGCTGAGCAGCAATGACCCTGGCGAGGTCACCAGGTGGCAGCCGGCCAAGCAGGGCCTTGGGAATACTAGACAAGGAGGCTGGGAACTGCTGAACCATTTAGAACAGCACAACTATATCTCATTCTTCTGTACTGGGTCCTTG